GCCACATGGGAGGTTTATCTGCACATCGCCATAGAAACGCTCAGCTATGGAAATGCTGGCCACAACGTGAATTCATCGCGGTGCCCAGCTCGACAAAACGGAAAGACTGATTCGGGTTAGGCCAAGCAAGGTTAGAGAAGACACATGCGCGAATTTATCACGTATAGCCTCCCCCCCCCCCCCCTCCCGACTTGGACTCACCGCTGGTGTCGTCACAACGATGTCAGGAATCGTCTGATAAGCGGAAGCTGCACGGGTCGGTAGAACGCAACCAAGTTTCTTGTGCTGCAGCAGTGACTGACACTCGCGCTCCACACCAGCAAGCAGGAGCGCTGTGGTCGAGGACCTATCCACCGTCCTCTCGCATGCAGGCGGCGGAAATCACGTGGTGTTCAACCCACACGTATTCCGGAGTTGCCTCCCCTGATAATTTTCGCTCGCCTCAATCATTGACTGTGTCGAACACGCCGACTCAAGAGACTCGTACGCTAGGTCAGCCCTGGCCGGACGTCCGGACGTCCAGCTGGTCGTAAACTACCGTCCCCAAGCTGGCCAGCGTCCTAGTCCTGCGAATTCGAGTAGTTCGCGGCCGGCTCAGGCCGCCCTGACCTCTCAAGGTTACTGTGAATGTCAAATGCAGCGTCAAATGACGGGGAACTCTGTAACTCATAAATATAATGGGCAGTTTTGGATTTTCAGGCATTAGTATCGCCTTCGGCATATAAACTCACATCTGTGGAGAGATTCTGACCTCTCTAGAACGCCATTCGCTGTCAAATTCAAAAGTGAAGTTAAGGGAACTTCCTTACACCGAAACGTGACCGGCCGATCTCGGATTTTCGAAATATCAGAATCTCCTTCAGCATATACATAGCGTCCTCAAAAATCCTTATCTCTGGAAGCCACCTTTCAAGGCCAAATTCTTGCACAAATGACGGAGAAATCCTACTATCCGAAGGCAGGGCAATAGAACACCGGGTACCAAATACCAAAGTTTTGAGTGGTGGGTATCGACACATACTATAAGTATACCAGATTAGGGATTAATACCAGATTTAGTATGTTGTACAAAAAGTTGTCAGTGGTGTGCTAGCGGCATCTTTAGTCTTTTTTCTTGCGATTAAGTGTAATCGCGTTTCTCAGTCGTTAAACGCTTGAAGTGCTGTGGGGTACTGTGGATGGTGGTTGGGGGACCAGATTGTGTTCAATCAATTTCAGATGCCTCTAGGTTAATCTGATGTGTGTTGTTCGTTTCCAAGTCACATTATTTTTCTTTTTAAACATTCTGCACCAAAACTGACCATATAATGACCCAGTCACTGCACAGTGAGTCAGTTATCAACATAGTGACATAGGCTACCGGCTGTGGGGTGCTGCATGCCAAGTGACTGGTCAATGTGCTCTCAGGCATACTGATGTTTGAGCTAAGGATTTTGTCAGTTTCAATATATGAACGCTGGGATTGTTGTCTGATTGGCATTTGAATACTCGGCATACGAAATGGCAATATTTATCCACAGGGTCATTACCGCCCATGAAGCGGGCCAACCGGCCATTCTGTCAATTGAGCACAACTGTGCGATTGTATTAGATGCACTTATTCGGAAATGAATGGCACTTTGAGATGATGTAAATGTTGGTATGATGCAATGTTGTGCACGCACCTATTATGACATTTAACAAAAGCCTGCAGTATTTGGAGTAGGTCATCTGATGTCAAAAATTGGATGACTTTTCTGCAATAATTCAGTGTATGTGAAATTGTAAGATCATGTTTTTTTCCAGATCAGAAGAATCAACATGTGCTAATTGTTGGTGGGCTGTGCTGAGGGTCGTCCCACCTCACCTCCACCTAACGTGTGTTTCTCGTCGGGTCTTGACACTTCATTTTGACAAAATGCTTATTTTCATCTTGTAGTTATGTATTTTATCCGATAGCCTAGCCGATGTCATAAAATGATGCCCAAAGTGGGTGATTGTGGTGCGATAGTCACTTTTACCATAGTTTTCATTTTGTAATACTCTTAGCAACCTCATGAGAAGGGCAACCCAACATTTTCTAGTGAATTTCAACATTGTTTTTTTTTGGGGGGGGGACACCATCACAAAATGCAATTGTTCCATGCAACTGCATACAGCCTAAACCTGGTATTTAACTTAAGTAAGTGAAAAACCTGTGCTTGGTAAATGTATCCAATGCAGGCAGCAAATGCTGTAGTTAATGGGTGCAATGGCTTGTGTTGTACCTAAAATTTGCAGTTGGTCAGCAGGATAAAGCATCTTTATGATTTATGCCAAATCTTGTGCTGCAATAACGAGATCATTTATGATATCGAGCTAACAACTTCATTATGACATTATATAATGGTTGTTTGTGCAAGGGGATTTTAAAAATGTAACATTTGTAGAAATCGAAGCTAAAGTTCTCCTCATACCGAAAAAAAACCTTCGTGCAGATAATTTTGGGGAGCATGGTCACTTAGGCCATAGGTTTGTGAGGTGTCAAAGCTCTTCAAGGTCAATCAGAGAAGTTTCTCATTTTTTTACATATCAAGGTCACTGTGCTATACCAGCCCGCCGTCATAGCACTTATCGTTGAAATGTCTACCATCCTGCTTTTAAGCACAGCTGCTTCCCAATCAGAGCTGCTTGCAATGTTACTACGCCATCGTTGCTGTGCTGGTCCTGAGGCGGCCATGCCGGCCCTGCACAGCAATGGCCGTCAGCGTCACAACTTAAGCACCTAACACAGTGTTTGGTCCTACCTCTGGCCGCGCTGGGGACGGCCGGCTTTGGACTGCTACATCGCCTGGACATCGCGGCGCGTGCATAGGTCTATGTCTTGCCTGATAGTTCGAAAAGGAGTACCGCGGCGCGCACTTTTGATCCCGGAAATTGAAAGATATTTGTTACAGCTACATTTCTGTGCACTTTTTGTGCATATGCATGTTCAAAATTTAGAGAGCCGTGGGCCTGAAGAAGAGAATTTTAACATGGGAACCCTACGGCTAGTCGTAAAATGTGCGCCGTTGCTGCCATATTTCATACCGGACTTTGGACCCCCCGATCCGAGGGCCATCAGCCTAATTTCGCACTTTGTTTATACGCTGAACAACATTTTGCTGTCTCATGAACCGAAAACGGTCGGTAACTTTTGGGTGGTTTGAAATTCAAAGTCATTTGGCCTTGAAGGGTGGTCATGACAAATCAGGACTTCTAGTAGACGGCGCCTACCAGTGTTCGCTACACCGTAGCCCCATCACGATTGGTCAACTCCTCTGCACGTGGAAACATCCTGTATTGTGACCACCTCCACCAGAAACCGGCCCCTCTCAGTCGTCTCAGAAAACCGACACCACAGCCTCCGCCCGGGAAGTGCCTGCCGCCGTCCTGACGCCGCCTCGTCACTGCTACCCGGACAGGGATCAAAGACCAGTCGCCACAGAGTCAGCAAGGGGACTACCCTCTGCCCAGGGTCCGACACAACTACCAAGTCCATGCCCCTCCACGGCGCGCGGAATAGCACGCTAAATCTACTAAATCGCACGCACCCGTCCCGTAGCATGGGGGCTTGCCGTCTACAGATGCAACACGCATGAGAGAGAGTGATAGCCTTTGCAAGAGCTACCCTCACAAAAATAAAAAAGGTAGATAAATCACCGCAAAAAGGTAAAAATAAAAGGTGAGGCAAATCACCGCATTCAGCTGTGCGGTGGCAGGTGCAGGAAACTGGTGGTCCATGCAAGGCATGAGGGTGTTCTCTTAAGAAGGGTGTGTGTAAGGTGTCAGAGAATACCTATGTGCTATCCAGTGAATGTTTTCGTAGTTTGGCGAACGCCGCTTCGAGGCGCTCGCGTTCCCCTCCTCCTGTCACAGGCGCCCCGTGCGAGGGCCGCGGCCGCGGGGGGCAGCGGGGGGGGGGGGGGGAGGGAGTAACGAGAATACTCGGAGAGCCGGCAGCGCTGGGACGGACGCGCCGGCGGGACGAGCTGTGTGGAGTGCCTGCGACGAGTGTCAAATACAGAAGTGACTTTGGACGCACTGAGTGTACCAGTGGGCCGGACGCGAGACACTGAAACAGTGGAACTTGCATATCTACTTGTGTGTGCCAACTTCTGTTCCACAAGTGTGCAGCACAGAAGTTATCCCGGCGCAGAGACAACCAGTCGGCCCCATATTTCTGCGGGATGGGAAGCCGGGGGATGCTGCCTTTCGCTGTCTAATTTGACGTAATCCGGCGCGGTACTCTGCAAACTTTGGTGTAAACCAACGAAACTCGGATGGGTGGGTCGGTTTTCATAATGGGTTTCACCTTGTTTTTAACCTTGACGTGGCAGCATGCTGATCATAATCGTTGACCTCTTACCTGACATGAAAAACAGCATAAGCAACCATCGGCCTCGATGTCCGGACGAGAGATCAGGAGTAAACACAGAACGGAAGCTGAAATGTGACGGAGGTCTTGGCCAAATTTATCCTCACAGCGAAAATAACGTCACAAAACGTTCAACGAACCCAACGTACTTACATCTGGATCATGCAATAGACAGTAAGCAGTCTAATGTGGACGTAACCTGTAAAAAAACATGCGAAATATGTCTAGCTTTGAGAAAGCTTTTCGATGTGCTCGATGATCGGAGGATTCACCCGAAAAGCATGTTACTTTTGGCGGCACCTGTAACGTGGACAACACAGCAATCTGTTGGTGCCGGGATCGTCGCTCCCTTCGTCCCGACACCTGTTGGCGCGTGCTGATCTTGGACTTCCGTACGGCCCGTCCGCATTTCCGGAGCCAACGTTTAACGGCCGCAGCTAGCCGTGTTCCACGTGTGCCGTCTGTCGTCCCGGCGCAAGCAGGTGAAGCCCGCTCCGAACCGCGTTCCGTCTGTGCCGTCTCCCGTCCGTGTGCCGCCGCCGGCCCGCTGGATGTGTTGATTGGCCGGCCTCACGTAACGGTGCCGTCTCGGGCCGCTCGGCCGGCACGCCTGGCGAGGGCGGCGGCGGCACACCGGCGACCGGGCCCGACCACGCAGCGGTGACGGGTCCGCGGTGAGACACAAGTGAGCGGAGGCAGTACGAGGGCGGAGGCGCGGACGGCGTGGGAGCCATGGATAAACGCTTCAGGCACGGAGCACCCCTGCTCGGCATTCGCAGGTAGGTGGCGCTAAGGCTCGCCAGGCGCCGCGCGCCGACTTCCCCGCGCTCAGTGACGTGCACCAGCTACGTGGATAGATAAGTTCTCGAGTGTGCTTTCCAGAGCGTGATTAAATTCTCTGCCCGATATGAACATTCCAATGCTTCCGGAACGAAATTAAACAGTTCAACTATTGGGCCGCCGGATACGCCCACCCATATTGGGCCTGTAAATATGGTCAATAACTTGCGGTATGGTGATTATCTAATTTACGACGCATTTTTGCGGGATACTGGTTCCACAAAGCTTACGTGCGCTAAAAGTTTATGGGTAAAAATTGACGGCAAATCTTGGGCTTCCAGCATTCCCCACGTACCTTGCTCTATGATTGATGGCAGATCCCCACGCCCACTATTAGCATAGCCTTTTCAATGGTCTGACGGCAAAGGCAAAGTGACTTCTTATCCTAAAACGCCGATGTTTGACCGCATTCGCATCTGTGACACTTTCGAAAAAAACGGCAAGACACTTTTTCTTTGTCATGCATCTCTGGCTTGACACATCTTTCAGCTTTTCGTTCAGTTCCGGAACACACGCGGTGCTCTCTGCGAAACCCATTGGGGCGTCCGTGACTGAGCCCACGGCTCCGCGCGCACGCCAGTCCACGTAGAGTTCCGCACGCCGTGTGTGGTGTGGACCAGCTTGCCGTGGTGAAGGTGGATTGCCGATCTTGTCAGAACTTGCGGCGTAACATTCCCATTGGTGTCTGTGTCACGGATGAGAGCTGAGCGACATGCCTCGCTCCCTTCTCGTGGAGTGAAGGCAGGTGGGGCGGCACGCGTTACAGCCCACGGGTCACTGGCCCAACACATCACCTGCCAGCCATGTCCTCTGCCTGGCAGCGGCCGTCAGCATGGCTAATCGGGCCGCAGCCCGTGCGCGTGCTGTGTAGGTCAGCGTGACCCACTGGACCCAGACTGCGGCGCCGGAACTCGTAGCGGGCCGCCGCCGCCGCCGCCGCCGGCACACGGCACCGTTACGCTCCCGCCTCAGCAGGCCGGGCGAGTGGCAGGGGGCGAGCCGGGCCCAACGTCACCGAAGCGTCGCACCGCCGCAAGCACCATCGGGCGCGCCAGTCCATGGCTCTGTGAACCGCTGTGAAGCCGGCCTTCTATGAGCCGGTGCGCATAAGGAGCTCTGTGGACGGGTTCTGTGGACCAGTGCACAGCAGTGGCTCCGTGGACTGGCATGGAATGATGGCTGTGTTAGCCGGTGTGCATTAATGGCTCTGTGGATTGGCATGAAATGAGGGCTGTGTTACCCGGCGTGCGTTAATGGCTCTGTGGACCGCCGTAATGTGACGGTTCTGGGGACCGGTGTACAATAGAGGTCATGTGGAGTTTAGAGAAGCGGCCCTCTGGATTGCGTGCGTTAGCGACCCTGTGCACTGGACGCAGCAGTGACGAGCTGGTGTGGCTATGTGACGAGCTGACGAGCTATGTGGGCTGGTGTGCGGCAGTGGCTCTTTGGGCCGGTGTGCGATAGTGACTGTGCGCCGGTATACGGCAGTGACCTGTGGGCCGGTGTGCAATAGTGACTCTGTGGGCCGGCGTGTGATAGTGGCTGTGGGCCGGTGTACGGCGGTGACCCTGTGGGCCGGTGTGCAATAGTGACTCTGTGGGCCGGTGTGTGGTAGTGGCTCTGTGGGCCGGTGTGCGATAGTGACTCTGTGGGTCGGTGTGCGGCAGTGACTCTGTGGGCCGGTGCACAGTGGTTACTCTGTGGATCGGTAGTCATTTGGTGGGCTGATTACGGTTTCAGTTTCGTGCACCGGTGATTGCTCACCGGTGCATATCGTTGCATGCACCGTTGTGAGAACTGGGGTTACAGGGAAAGTGGGATGGGGCCTCCCTAAAAGCTTGTGAGCTTTTCTGATGTGTTTGGGAAAAGGTCAAATCCGTATGCGTGGATGACAGCTCATACATTACGTTTAGATATGCGATATCCATTCAAATTAAAGGAGATGTTTCACATTTGTACGGAGTTTTGAACTGAAATAGTCATTTTGAAGATCATTCGTTGAAGATCATTCACAGCCATGTCCTTTCGACCTGAGCCTCTCCAGTTTCTGAGTTACACGCCTACGAGGACGTGCAGACTTTTGGGATTGACCTTTTCAAGGTCATCTTGGCACCCATAACGCCGTAATAACGCCGATCAAGACCTGTCTACTGGCCATGCGGCGATCAAGACCAACATGAAAATAAATGTCGAGTTTTTCCTTTGTAACTTTGTAATCGTCTAAAAAACATAATACAATTTTGGGAAATTTAAAGTTAAAAAATTAGAACACTTAGAACTAAGAAAAATAAAAATTTGTTACCACCGCATTAACCATCGCAAACGTTTCAGTCACACCAATGATTTCTTTCGGACAACGCCCTGTGCCGTGTGGTGTTAGCATTGTGTTGTGTTGACACAAGTTGCTTGTGTCAACTTCACATTGCACCACACGTCCGCCGCACGAAACCGCTCAGTACTGCTACCGCTGCGGCACTGTTGCCAACAACCCCACGTGACACGCCACCGGACTCCTGGAGCCGTGCCCCGAGTGCGGCCGCGCGGCATCTGCCGACCGCGGCCGAGGACGGCCTCTGCGGCGCCCGGCCGGCTCGCGTGGGTCCGGCTGAGCCGACCGTCGCCCGCGGCCGTCTGAGCCGCCGGTTATTGGACCCCGGCCGCGGGCGGCGCGGCCCTGGCCTCAGGCGCCGGGCGGAAGGCTGGGATCTGTTCCAGGCCGATTGACGACCGAGCGTCGTCGGCGCGTCGTGAGTGGTATGGATGTCCGGGTGTGGTGCGCGCGTGAGGGTTAGGCGTGAGGTGTCGAACACGGAGTAGACCGGGCCAAAGAAGCAGATCTTCCTGTGACGGGGGTACCCGGGTTTTGCCGCCGGGAGACGTTTTTCCCTCACGTCGAGAGTTGTCGCGTGCCGGGGTGTCCGATGTCCAGGAAGCTGATCTGATGCGTTGATGCCGAAATCAGGTAGAAGTACTGCCAATCATTTCACCCATCAAGCGCGGAAGAGAAGCTCACAGATGGGACGTCGAATGCAAACAAACACATTTGATGGAATGCCAGTTAACCTGGTCTCATCCCTTCATTTCTCATGTTTTATACATGGATATGACGTCCGTGAACTTTCCAGATGAAATGGATCTGTTCACACGTCACGGTATCTTTCAAGCCTCCATCACCAGTCAAGTCTCTATCACGCCATCAGTCAAATATCAATCACGCCATCAATCAAGTCTCCATCACGCCAACATTCGAGTCTCCATCCCGCTAACAATGAAATTTCCATCACGCCACCAATCAAGTCTTCATCACACCATCAATCAAGTCTCCGTCGCGCCATCAGTCTAGTCTTCATCATGGAGTCAAAGCATGTGCGAATGCAAGCACTTGGTAAACAATCGTTGGGCACATAATCGGTCAACAGTCTCATAAATATTGTGCGCGTGAGATGGCCTGGCTGCGTGGCATCGGGGCGTGTTGACCCGAGTGCGGCAGTTCGGGAAGGCGCCGAAACGGGTCAGATTGTGGCCACATTAGAGCCCCGCTGACGTAAACGGATGGTGCTGTCAACGGCCAGCCGAAGCCCCAGGTCTCGCGGGACAGTAAGACGGCTCAGAACGTGCTCCCAGAGCGAAGAGTTATGTAGGATCCACGAGAACACCGGCTTGCTTTCAGACACGTAATATCTATACATCTTAACTTGATTGCGTTATTGCAGAATCCTCATGATTTCGACTCGCATCGCATGTTGCTGATTTCGCCTCGGACTCAGGGCAGCACAGCACAGCTTTGAGTCCGCTCCGATTCCGGCTTCGCTGATGTGATCTGATTCCAGTCACGAATCCGTATGCATGACTGAAATGTTTGTATAGGACAAATATGTTATGGAAAAGACGGCGATATATGCAAAATTAGTTGTCTTCATCAGAATTTCCGTCGTTTCTGACGTGCCTGGCCTTTGAACTTAACGTACACTCCGGCTGAATTAATATCAGTACGATCAATACGTTTGACAGAGCTTCGAGAACGACTTACGTTAATTTCGAAGAAATTGATTCCATCTCCACTCAACGATAATTTGGCTGATTCTGGAACTGACTTCGGCATCACCAGATATCGAGCACACATGGTATGATGACCAGCAATTCATCTATTTCCTGTTCAAGTGATTGAGGTTAAAGCGTTTTTAGCATTTTTGGAAATATTAATTGACTACACCGCTTTTGGTGCCATTCATTACCAGCTTGAAATCTTTTGGCAACCCTTGCAAGCTCCGTCCACACATCCACGCCGGAGGTATCCTCCAAGCGCGTATAAAAGGTATGGGTCTCACGCAAGTTGTGTCCATTTCAGTTTTGGAGGGTTCGGACATGTGCCGCACGAGACATGCACACAATTCGAAACACCTGTTCAACTAGTGCCGACACTTAGACACTGCCTGACGACACGCACTGGATCCCTCCTTCCGGCACCGGCCTAGACTGGTGTTTCGCTGGTGCCCCACGTGGTACCGGGGGCCTCGCGGTAGGCCATAGTCGGGGAGGGAGCTCAGAATGTGTACGGATCACGCATGCTCAAAGGGTCCTGTGCATCTGAAATGTTGACGGTATAATGTCGCAGAGGCGTGCAAGTCGAGCGCGCGAAAACACGTCCAGGTCGCATCGGGGACCTCCAGGTTTTTTATTTCCAAGAATTGTGTTCGGTTGGTGATAATACCGTCGGCTGCCAAGACCCGCCTCCGGGGCGGCGTGGCTATTCGAACGCGGTCGACGTAAGCTACCATCAGATCGCTGAAACGCAAAACAAAACCGCCAGTGTGCATTTGCAATTGACCTCGCCTGACCAAACCCCCGAGTTCTGAGCACCGCTGTGGCTACGCCCTCCCCTTCTGCCCCCATTACCGCGACGATACGGCCTCAATACTGGCCTCAAGCGACCTATCTTACGAAAACCAAAGGTTTGCAGCTGATCTAGCGTGACAATGTTTCGTTGCATGGCTGCCACATAAAGCACCGTAGCGCGACATTTCAGCCTTGGTCTACGGCCAAGACTCGGGAGTTTGGCAGTTTTGACAGTCTAGGAGTTGAACAGCCCTTCGCCGCTCCAGACAGGATGCGTTCATTACGCTGGAGGAATAAAGGACGAGGTGTTCTGACTGTTCTAGAGCATGTTGAAACCTGCGTAAATATCGCTAATGCATAAACATAACAGATATGGCCTGCGCGGAGCATATCATGGCATATTTTGCGGTCGAATGACTGTCGGCTCAGGGACAACATTATCTTTTTTCTGACTCGTGTCATGTTACCACACGACTTTTGAGTGGTGCCGTGTCGTGTCAAACCGCGATATCTGAAGACCATTTTGGGCATAACATCAGGCGACATCTCCCTGCACGAATGCTGCTGGCCGGCAGCCCAATGTCGCACCTGATCCCGTCTCTCAGCCTCCGGTCCATGCGTGGCCGCCCCCTAAACAGCGCTGGACGCTTGACGCCGAATCGGCGCCTCAGACAAGTCTGTTAATGCCAGCGGGCAGCGTAAAACGACGCCCAGACGGGTGTAATAAAGCTGTGTTTAGGCAAGTCGAGGCGCAATTACGTCTGAAATTAAAACCATAAAGCACAGCTGAAACATCCCTGTCTTGTTTTGCGATGCGGAAGGCGCTACATTTAGTGTTCAGATGTCGCGCGAAAAGTGCGGGTGCTATATTCGCGACTAGGTACGACGGAACGGTCGCTTCAGTGATGTGACATCCGGCCCCTGTGGTTCCGTTACGAGAGTTAGCTCTCGGAGCTGACCTCTCGGCTCCGTCCCGGGCCGTGAAAAGGCATGCCAGCTGCTAAGGTCGTTTGACTAGCCAACCTGTAACTGGAAGGTTAGGAACCGGAAGTCATAATATTGAATGCCATTAACATTATTGACGGTCTAGTAATAATGTCGTCTTTTCTGTACGGTGTAGTATTGTTTGGTTGAGATAACAGGACCACCATTGCAATTCTTGGCGCATTTTGATTACTCTGAACAGGATCAGTTGTATCGGAAATCCTTCTTGGTTTTCAACGCATACAACAGAACTGCGGAAATGTGCTGCCGTTAGAACGCCGTACGTAACGAGTGTTCGAAAGAGCTAGTAGCATGAGATTAAACCTTTTCTCGCCCAATAGACAAGAAAAAGCTTTTTGTTTGCCAGCGTATGTTCTGCCGCATAGCCTAAGCAGTTCATGACCCGTACTGGCTTCATATTTAGAAGCCGCCAATGCTTTATGTTCTTTACTTTCAATTATTCACGAACGTTTCGTAGTAGCATAGTTCGTACAATGTGTGAATGATGCATTACCGACTTTCCGAGTTTCGAGCCGTTCCATAACGCACCTGATCATAACGTCACGCAACATAATAGCCCATGTGCAAGTCGCACTTTTTTACTGTCAGATACAAATTCATATCACTGAGGTGAAAGCAATTTATTTGATATTTAACTCCCGGCTTTTCTGCACTTAAAAAATTGTAGAAAGGCAATAGCTGACCTTTGCTGAAAACACATACAGCCTTTTCCTCCAGAGGAAGTGTGCAAGAAGGCTAGGATGGCAGAGTTTCCGTGCCCATAACTTACTGAGATTCCCGCAGCTCCGTTGGTAGGGCGCTGGACATCTGGTCGCCGCCTGGCAGGCATATTGGTTCGTGTCCCACAAACTGCACTTAAATGATTTATCTATTGCGGTCAATTGGTAATGGCCCAGACCGGCTGGCAGGAGCCGGCCTTGTCATGCCATAAGGTCTCACGGCCAAACATTCTGGGGAAGGCTATCCGTTAAACTGGGACTGCTCGCACGGTGCCGTGGGCTTAGAGTCTTCGCATCGACGTGTGCTTAGCCAGGTCTCTATTCTTAAAGACGTACAGAGACAACCACCTACTGATTACGGAATTGGGATGAACTCCATGTCCCACCACCTTCTGCGACGTAGGCGAGTTGGTCAACCCTCTCGGCGAGAGGGTTGAGGTTGGTTGAGGGCGAGAGGCGAGATGGGTTGCCTGTTGTGATCGCAACAAGGGTTCCGTATGTCGGTATACCAGAACAATTAAAGCAGAAAAATGCAAACAACAGACAGGGCGGTAGCTCCGTACATATGCATATTTTATCAACATAGTTTTACACACCTGTTCACCGTGTGAAGCTGGTTTAAGCCGAATACTACATTCTTTTCCTCCGAATGTCAATACAAGGTCGCTTAGTCTCATCACGGTTTCTTCCATGACTTTGCCTTTAACTGTGAATACTGTGAATATTCACACTGTGAATATACATCTGTTGGTTTTTAGAACTCAACCTACCGTGGTCTTAACCTCAGATGACCTTTACATCATTGATTGTACGGTCATGGCCAATTACTCCATGGGATCATTATTGTGTTCTTCGAACGCATACAAGATGCCTTCTTAGTATGCATTGCCTTCATCTCCTGCCACATGTTTTTGTTCGTTAGGTATTGCTCAATACCGTAGCACGGCCGGACCAGGCTAAGGCGACCATCATTAACCTGCTGTCAGCTGACCTTTCAATGTCGATCGGGCAAATATTGGGTCAGTTCCGGGAGTTGTGTCCAGTGCCGCCGCACATCGAGCTCGGCCAAGCTCCTCCGAACTATCGAGCTCAGCCAAGCTCCTCCAAACTATCGAGCTCAGCCAAGCTCCTCCAAGCTATCGGGCTCAGCCAAGCTCCTCCAAACTAGGGAGGCGGCACTAAATGCGTCTCACCGGCATTTTAAAAGTTTGCATAGCACCTTTGCAATTAATAGCTTTCGTTCCATGGATGGCACCTCATGTTCTTTGATTTTCTTTCATTCGTCTTTACATGTACCTAGTTCATGAGTAAGACAATAGCATTGTTTTAATTTAACCTAGTTAGGATGGTCACGTAATGTACTTAGGTCATCTACCCGGACGTTCAGTCTCTGTAGCGGGAAAAATATGGACGGCCCGTGTCCCCAACTGCGCTCTCGAGATTTCTCAAGATTTCTCTCAGTCCTGGAGCGGGCTGCAGTGCTACTGAATCGGGAAACATAGTGACAAAGGATCAGAAAACATCATTCTCTTGTTCAAAATATTTTTAATGAAGTTGATAAAAACTACTGGACGTAGTAGTGATAACAGACATTACGGATACACACCAGGATGCACACAAGGACAGCGTGCCAATGCCTGCCTAGTTCGATAACGGGATGAGTATTCAGAGTATACACACGCCCACGGAATACACTGCGCATCCCGCTGCTGTCCCGATGCTGTATTGAGTTCATGACGTCAGCTGGCCTGGTACCTGACCCAACTGGCGCTGGCGCTGGCGCTGCTCCGCCTTGTCTGCCAGTCAGCTGGTCATGCGGCGCGGACGTCCCGCTGCCCCGGCCAATCTGACACGAAGAGGTCTCCGTGGAACTGCATTGTCGTATCGCGTTGAGTGGATGGAGATGATATCGTCAAAACTCATCGAAAGAGGTCGCAGATCGCCCGGCGACTGCAGACGACTCCAATTTTAGGCTCGCTGGCGAAGTTACGACCAAACCCGTGCAAGAAGTGTCGCCAAAGAAGGGTCGGGGGCGAGGAGCGGGAAAAGTGGCACGCTTAATAACAGTAAAACGAAAGATCAGACTAATGAAACATAAACCAGTCAGCAGCCTTTGACCTCCATGAGTGCGCACGGGCAAGGGCGGAACACTTTTCACAGCGATGCAGCCGTTCCCCTGGGACCGATTAACGAATAACTAGCGCTATCATGGCAGCTGAGCCATCCTCGCATGCAGGCAACCCACTGATCGTACTGGCTGTGGGTGTACCTACGCTCAGGAGCATATGCGCGTCGTATTGACGAATCTGGTCATGCTACATGTCAAATGGTAGGTTACTAACTAGTCGGTGCATTACGCCAGTCTTGCAGGCCTTTTCTTAAATGCGGCCACATTGGGGACATACTCAACTTGAGCACAAGTCTGCAAGGCCCCAACCCGATATACAAAAAAAGCGAATAGACCATCGTCAACCGTGTGCCCCCATTCCTTAAGAAGGCTCTAGCTACGCCCCTGGTAGCAATGTCGATGAATCTGTCAGATGGGCAGATGCTGACCATTCTGACGTGCCGCCCAGGGCCTGGGTTGGCATGTCTGCGGTTGACATCACTGCCCTCGGATGGTGCTCCCTCTCAGCTTCCGGGGTTTCCACCGCTGCCAGTGGAGCACGCTTCGAATTCACACCACGCGCCAGCCAAAAGCTATACGACAATCGTAACGTGTGCCGCACCAGGTGTTCCACTATAAACTGCTCTGTGAGATACCGAATACGTGCCGTCCTGTGAGGTACCAAACATGAGCCGTTCTATGAGATTCCGAACACGCTTGGGTTTGCAGTTTGCTATCCGTACTTTATGTGTCGGGTCTCCGATACTATTGCATGCAGCCCATCATGCCGTCCGGTCTGAAACTGTCTCTGGGCCGTTTGCGGTAGACTACTGTGTGGCCGGCCTCTTCATACGGGATTTTCGACCACGTTTCTCACCGCCGTTCACGTTTAGTGCGAATCATTACCACCACGGCTCTTCTGGTCATTCAAGGTTACAAATCAGGCCGTAATGAAAGCTCCCTGCTGCCTTGATCACCTTTCTCCGCGCACCAGACAGCTCGTTGACCTACCCTCTGTTGGCTGTTTCAGATCATCAGATGTCGTTTCTCTGATGCTGATCTGCATCGCCTGTATGCTCTTCGTGCACTCCTCCAACCTCAGATCGTCCATCGACCAGATAGCGTCGTCAGCGCCCTCATCTCCAGGTGAGGGATCGCTCCGCGGCGGCACATTGTGGCCGCTTTCAGCCCCTTAGCAGCACCTTTGGCCCCAGCAGCACCTTTCATAAAAGGCTCCTCATGTTCTTCTACTCATCTTCTTTTCACAACGAAACACTTTTAATCCTTGCACTGGTGGTGGCACCAGTGCCCTATGCTACGTTTGTGCAGACACATACATGTATGTGTATGCATGCATTATGCACGCTAGTATATATGCTCATATAATATGCATGCACACATATGCACACACATGCATGTATATGTGAAGGCGTGTCTGGTTGTATGTACGTACGTACGTATGCATGTACTCATGTACCTACTTGGACACACATGTGTACATATGCCCATGTATGTATACATATGCACTTAACATACATATGTGCGTACACACATACATACTGTATGCAGGCATGCATCCATGCATAAACCTACGCACATTAATGAATGCATATGTATGTATATATCTATGCATGTATATATGCATGTATGCATACCTGTATGTATGACCGCATGCGTGTGTGTATTCATTTATTTATGTATGCATGTATGTGTGTACATGCGTATATGTATGTATGCATATGCGTATGTTTACATGCATGCGTGTATGTAGACATAGAGGCACCTCAATCACATGGCGCATCAAACGTATTTGCTTAACCAATGGCGAGTACCGTACATTCCATAGCGCCTTTTCACGCTGATTTCAAACGCAGTTCGCAATTCTTAGATTTAGGACATGCCAGATCTAAGCCTAAGCGCTTTCATATGTCAAACGTCCGACCAAAACGTGGTGCAACGCATTCCTTCGTTAATTTTCGTCCCAACCATGTTACCTCCAGGCATGCAGGTGATATATTGAGGTCATCGTATGCCTCTGATTTAAGTCGGTTTCTGGTTCCGGCCTATTTACTCTTCGACATAACAGCCCCCCTTTATAGCCCGTGAAACTTGTGTATCCTACAACAGGCCAGCACAGGTCATCCACCTTTATTGAAGTCTTGGAGTCAGGCTTTTGTGCACATGGTCCCGAAATGCATCTGCCTGTTTTTTTTTTTAGCATGGTGGCTGCTTGGTCGTTTTTGCCTGTCAGTGTTATCTTTTATTGTATGGAATGTTGACGACTATACGCCGTCATAGTTTATAGGCCTGATGCTGAGGATGGCGAGAAAATCACGCGGTGATCTGAGCAGCATTGAACAAGCATGCAAACTGGGGACGCCCCTTCGCCCACAGCTTTCCGGTGACTCCAAAATTTGTACATATAATTGTAACATCAGTTCCGGAGGTGTACTATGTGCAGCAACGGACCTATACGACGGACATGTTCACGTAGAGATCCCGTCCTCTTGACTCCTGCAAATTCGCATCTTGTGGGCAAATTGGTCGGAGAGGATGATGGAGGCTGCACCGCCAGGGCTCAGCGTCAAGCGGTGCAGTCTGCCGTCCTTGTGCATCGGCGTCACTTGTGCAACTGGACTGCAAGCTCCGGACATACAGCTTCAATTTAGCTCCCTAAACTCATCTCATCATCCTTTTCTGCTTGTCTCTGTCACGGCGCCGTTTTCACCTGCCACTTTCCTTTGTGTGAGCTTTCCCCGCGGAATCAGCCGGCAGTGCGCCACATGAGCCCACGGAGGACACTACTTGGTTTGTATAAGGACCTAAATTATGTTTGAGTGTGTCTTACTTGTGCATGATGCGTGATGTGCTTAAACGCTTTGGGATTATGTGGCTGCGGAATGGCTGCTATATATCTGTGTTTGTGGTTTGCGTTACTGTTGCAGGAACCGGCACGATGATGCATGAGCATCCTTTGGCATGAATACAGCTTTGCGTAGTGCTAGATTCGCTATATCTGCACGCATATGCCAGGAGCTGCTTCTTCGCCCCGCTGCGAGTCTGATAATAGGTATGGCCGCTACATGGACATATGCTCTCCCTCCCTCCCCCCCTCTCTCACACACACACACACACCACACACACACACACACCACACACACACACACACACACACACACACACACACACACACCACACACACACACACACACACACACACACACACACACACACACACACACACACATCACACACACACACACACACACACACACACACACACACACACCACAACACCACACACACACACACCACACACACACACACACACACACACCACACACACACACACCACACACACACACCCACACACACACACACACACACACACACACCACACACACACACACACACACACACACACACACACACACACACAACACACACACACACCACACACAACCACACAACACAACACACACACACACACACACACACACCACACACACACACACACACACCACACACACACACACACACACACACCACACACCACACACACCACACACACACACACACACACACACACACACACCACACACACACACACACACACACACACACACACACACACACATCATTCTGTCCCTCTGTCTCACTGCCCTTTCACCCTTCCTCGCCTTCGTCTTTCTCTGTACCATTATCATCCATCTTCATTATTTTCCCTTGATCAGTTCTCTGGATTTATCGCCTGCCCTCTCTGCTAGTTGACCAATCGGCATGACATGGCCGCGCACACCGTGTTTCGGCAGGCGCTGAGGTCGCCGCCCCGGTCAGCGCTCTCGGCGAGCGGGAGGAGGCCGGGCAGCGGGAGGCGGCCACCGCTGCCCACGAGCGGCTCGACAGGCGGCTACCAGCGCCGATGAACCGCACCGGCGAGGCGCAGGACCAGGCGCTGCTGGTGTTCACCAAGGTCAGTAGCGCGCCGCCTCCATCTGGTATGACTTCCGCCATCATCGAAATCACAGCGTGCGTAATAAGTGATGCATATCCGTTAATCATCACCGAACCTGAACACTAGAAAATTATTTAAACATTTCTTAACTTGTGTGCGGCTATAACCATGATTTGCAATCTTGTATGATATGCCACATGACTGCACGGCTCAGGTCCGCGGCAAGGTGACGACGGATCAAGGTTGTTTCAAACGTTTATGGGGAAGAACACCGCGCAGCTGCAAAAGACCCCGCGACGAAATAGTCTTTCTAAGAAATCACTTGAGTTTGAGAAAGGGACACCCGACTGATGTTTTTAATCAAAGCCTCGCGTTTGCGGCTGCCATTTCGTACTGCCTGAAAGCAAGAGCGTGAAATGAAACGCTGAATATTTCGCCACTGTTCCCATTGGCCCTGGCTGTGCCTAGCCCCATTGCTTTGTTTCGATGCGTCTCCATTCTGGTCCGCCTGAGCTCGGCGTTTGGGCGTGATGCTATGCTGACCCCGCCCCTGTCGTCTCCACTGATGACACCGCCCCTGCCATCTCCACCGGTGATCCGCCCCTGTCATCTCTAGTGATGAGCCCGCCCCTGTCGTCTCCACCGGGAATCCGCGCCTGCCATCTCCACCGATGTTCCGCCCCTGTCATCCCCATCGGTGATCCACCCCTGTCGTCTCCACTGATGATCCGCCCCTGTTATCTCCACTGGTCATCCCGCTCCTGTCATCTCCACTGATAACCCTGCCCCTGTCATCTCCACCGGTGATCCGCCCCTGTCATCTCCACTGGTGATCCGCCCCTGTCGTCTCCACTGATGGCCCCGCCCCTGTGGTCTCCACTGATGACCCCGCCCCTGTCGTCTCCACTGATGACCCCGCCCCTGTCATCTCCACCGGTGGCCCGCCCTGTCGTCTCCACTGGTGATCCGCCCCTGTGGTCTCCACTGATGACCCCGCCCCTGCCACCTCCACCGGTGATCCGCCCCTGTCGCGTCCACTGATGGCCCCGACACTGTCGTCTCCACTGATGACCCTGTCCCAGTCGCCTCCACTGGTCACCCTCTCCTGTCGTCTCCACTGGTGACCCTGCCCCAGTCGCCTCCACTGGGGAGGCCGACCGGCGGAGGCCTCGCTCCGCGCCACCCAGCTGACGGCCGTCCCGTCCCCACTGCTGCAGATTGCCCGCAGCGGCGGCGGGGCACTGGGCCACGTACTGCACGGCCTGGCGCGCGACGGCCGCTTTACCGTCTGGAACGAGAACCCCTACAGGAGCCACAAGATGCTGCCCTCCTCCCCGGCCAGGGCGGTCAGTCAAGCAGCCTCTGAATGGTGGCTATGGTGGAATGGATTTCCGTTTGCCGCCAACGTGGGGGTGTGTGCTGCTAGGAATAATTTGGTACAGCTTTGTGGTTGTGACGCTCGATAGCGTGAAGCGCTCAAGAAACAGGCATTGATATTTTGAAGAATAAAAAGTGGGAATAATGTTCCAGGTAGGCCAATCAGAGCCTCTAGTGCGACTCAGATGATCAAGCTGACACATTATTGCAAAAATAGCTTGACGTTTGGTCAAGTCACATCTTTTTGCGTCAACCGTGAAGACGTGTGTTGCGGGCAATACTTTCAAGGAAGGTTTAATCAAATGGGTCGACTTGCACGACTTTTTTCCACTCAGAGCTAATCAAATCATAAGCCACATCATTTCGCGAGCAGATGCCTTGCAGGAACGGTTTGTGAATGCCACGGATCAGGTTAATTAAAACGTAAGTGTATGATCCAGTCTTATAATCGGAGTCGATTGCAAGGTGACGACATGTAGCCATAGGGGGAATGTAGGGTATCAGTCAAATACAATCAGATGGTTCGTGTCTAACCGTGTCTTTTTAGTCAACTATATTCCATAACCAGTTAGCAGGCACCTTTCATGCATTTAGGCTAAACAAATGATGGCCAAATTGTGATTTATGAGGTGTCTGGTCACGTCTTTCTTTTACATGAGCACACGGGTTGGGTGTGCAAGTGCTGTTTACGTGTACCTCAATGTACCTTTCCCTCTGTATTTTTGCTCAGGATAGTCATGGTGATGTCTGTAGCCTTTTGTCGCTTGCCTGCGACAAAACAACAAAAATATCCGGGCAATATAGGCGTCACCTAAAGACATATGGGTATCATCTGATGGTCAGCTTCGCGATATCTAAACGCGCACGGTTCCGTTCTGATTCAGCCCAAGCACACTGGCAGCGGGTCATGAAGTGGAATAGCACTTTGGTAGTTTTGCTGGTTTGGCTCACATTTGGCGTCATTTGGTTTGCAGATGAGAGCTGTTCAGGAGATGAGCGGCGTTTCAAAACCAGCAGTCGTGATGAAGCAGATAAGCCACCTCAATTTCTCAGCGTAGGTAAAAGTGTTTCATCACATGCGGCGTGTAACGCTTACCTGCAAATCTGCATGTGAAGATCACACCTCGCTCCTATGCCGACTAAACGAGACGAACCAAATTTGAGTGGCACTAAACGCTCATATACATGCCTGGTAGAGTACGCACGCTATCAGGTCCTCGTTAATGCATGGTGTGTTGTGGATCTAGTCTTTGAAACGGTGGTGGAGTATATCCAATTATGAGGATCCTGGACCATATTTTGAGGGATACGAATTCGTACTCAACCCTAAATGGCATCCTCTGTTAAGGAACTAGTTACAAATTTGCGGGTAACATAAGGGAATCCTCGTTCACTGATAACCTTCATGTGGTTTCCTGATGTTAACATCAACCTTTTCAACTGTAGAAGCCTATTTCTGCGGAAACCAATCAGGCTTCATCGCACAATTGGTTTTCAACTGAAGAGGCCATGCTAGTTCCCAGCCAAGGCGTTGAAGTGAACTAAAACAGCGAACTAGGAAAATAATCATTACAGCATGAAGAGCATAAAGGGAATTAGATTACGACTGGTGAGATGGGCTACTTTAAAGGCTGGATGACTACGGGGCGGGGCTATTCTCCGTCAATCTAAATGCTGTCTTTCACTCCGCATATTTGATGATGGACAGTGACACCAGTAATCCAAGCTCACAATAACAGTGTGGTTGTTGGCATTTTAGTTTTTCATCTCAAGGCATATGTGCACTGAATTTGTATGGGTGTGTCGGCATATCTATATAATCACATTTTTTCTTCTTGGCGCTGCATTATCGATTTAGCGCCAATGACACTCCCTCGTACTTGCATTCCCTTCGGCCAACGCTATTTTCAGACTATCTCGATTATCTTGGCATTGTCTTACATTAGAAACCAAGATGTGTCTCACTGCGCTATTTCCGCGACCACATTACTTACTCTGGTCTCTTTTGTCTGCAGCTACGGCTTCAATAAGCCGATCTACGTCAGCATGGTGCGCCATCCCATAGAGCACGCGCACTCGTGGTTTTACTGGTTGCGCGCGCCTTATGCGGTGGTGGAGAGAGCGCTCTCCTTCGGAAAGGAAGAGGCCGTCAACCATCTGCCGAAAGCGACCTTCCTCAAAAAGGTAGCGACTCTCTTCGCGTTGCCTGGTGGGTTGAATGGACGATTTCAGTTTACCTCTGACAGAGGAACTTGATCACAGGCTGGTGTATTTCTGGTTTGCGCATTCTTGCCAAATTGAAATTAAAAGACACATAAAGTAAAAGCATAGGAGCCTTCATCCTACAATCAAGTTCGGAGCTGTTAAAAGTGAACGTTGACAAACATGTGTTTAAACTCAAGGCGGCCAATATTAGTTTATAGTTGTATGCTTATAGACAGAATCGGTGATTCGAATTAAGAAAATATCATATATGTATATCAATATATATGTATATGTTTCAATGTATGTCGTGGTTTATGTTGTGCATGTTTTTAAGCATATATATATATATATATATATATATATATATATATATAAGTTCTCATCCGATGTCAGAAGCTTTGCTACCTTGATCGCTCATTGGCAAAGCCCTTTACCAGAAATATTCAAGGGCTCGCACCCATGAGACAAAGCAACAGAAAGGGTATATTTTCTCAATTATTCAGAGGCTATTTAAGCGTTAAATTTCATCTTGTTTTGCTACATTGTGATACACCCACCAGCCAATTCAACGTACATATTGATAATCGGCCTGTCGTATTGTCAGAGCTTCGAGGCCTGCGTGGAGTCCGGTGACCCGGAGTGTACGTACCTCCCGGGAACCGAGCGCGTCGGCCATCCCATGCAGGCCTTCTGCACCTCCTCGCCCCAGTGCTGGTGAGTAGGCAGCGATGCTGAACGCTGGTCCCCTCACACGTCAGAGCACGTAAGGCCGTGGGAGCGGTCCGTTTCGGTCGAGCGCACGTGACGTGGGAGAGACGACAGCGGCTTCAGGAGAGCGCAGCGGCGCAACGCTCATTGAGCGAGGCGGAGCACATTGAGTCAAGAGTCAGTGCACAGAGCACATTTAGCCCATGAAGGACATGTCTACAGCAGTCTGACGACTAAAGGGAAAGGCTTGAATGCACTCCCTACTTTCCGTGTTGTGATTACTGCCCGGGGCTGTGTCCTAAACCTAGTTTGGGTGCTTCCCGGGATGCTTGAAGCTGCTAGCGACGGCCGGAATTATACCAGATGCGCGTCCTGGCTGTGTCATATCTCATTCACTATAATTCCACTATGGTCTGTCATAGTCACTATAAGTCTAATGGTCTGATCTTTGAGCCTGTGACGACAGGTCTGTGGTGATCAGAACACTGCGGTGGTCTGATCTGTGAGCCTGCGACGACAGGTCGTTCGGCAGCCGCGCGGCACTGCAGGAGGCCAAACGGGTGGTGGAGAGCGAGTACGCCGTTGTGGGCCTGCTAGAGGACTGGGACACCTCACTGACCGTCATGGAGAAGCTGGTGCCGCGCTTCTTCGCCGGCGCTTCAGTCCTATATCGAGGCGAGTGTGCTAATGGAGGGACAGGAGCGACGGGCCGAGGACACCACAACAACCGGGAAGCATTTGTGGGATGCCTGTGGGTGCTGCAGATTGGAAATTCATAACGCTTGTTAGGCAAGGTACAGGATAAGTGTGTGGTGTGGTAAGTAGAGTCGCATTAAATGCTCAGATCGTCGCATATTGGTATGCCCTCATCATGACATTGCTAACGTGGCGTTCAGAGATAATTTTCGCAACAAGTTATCTTGTAGTCGTTTCCGTCGTGCTGGGTGGGTAGATATACAAAGGCTCGGGTGATTTTCATGCAGGGAAAGTGCATGCCTTGCTAATAACAGTTGCAACATACCCTCGATAATTCTTGAGTTTTTTTAAACATTGCACGTTTAAATGTTCGTGGCATGATACTGCATGACATCATGATGTGAAAGACGGATTTATGCCATAGCTTATCTTGCAGCCGGTTGCGTCACTTTGGTTCCAGAAGGCTAGCCTACGACCCTACGACCATTACGACCCTACGACCCTACGAGGCCTACGACCATTTGGGCGCCGCTGATGATAGATCTTTCCAGACATTATACATGATGAGGCAGTGATCATTATACAATGCCACCATAGCCAGCCTCGTCGTCGAGGCAAACTGACTTTTTTCGCATACCGCACGGGCCTAATTCATTTACATTACGCATTCAAGAAAAGGAAGAACTTACTGGGGCTCACATCAGAGCACTTTCTAATCATCCTCATGAAGTATGCGCGTTGTTTGATTTTACTAGTTCACTCTATTGTCACAAAAGATATGTCGTGAGGTTTCAACGGAGCCACTGAGGCTTTGAACGGATCCCGGCCATATAAGCCAGCGCCCCCCGCATATGACTCGATAATGCCATCAGGGGTAAATTCAGCGGGCGGATGCTCTGAATTAGACTAACTCGTAGAGCGATGACTTCTACAGCTGCGGTAGGCTAGTTTGAGGCCTTCTCGCAAGTTGGATAAGTTTATCACACCTTCCGTCGTGACGTGATGTGACTGGGCTAGATGGACCACATCTGCGCCAGTTAAAGTCATACTTACTTTGCAATATTGTTTCAGAGAAAGTGGCTGCGAATCGAACCCAGCGCAACGAGAACTTCTACAAGCCGAAGTTAAGCGAAGCGATAAGGCAGAAGATGACCAAAAACTTCCACACAGAAATCGAATTTTACCAATTTGTGAAGCGTAGACTCTATAAGCAGTACGAAAGTCTGAAAGGTTGAACGGTACATCGCCATTTCTAGTAAGATGCTAGTAACGTTCCATGTTTTTCTAGCGCTTCTATGTGGCTGGTAGAGAGCGCAGTTCTGTTTACACGAATCTTAAATCTAGCGCACTTACATTTCCTTGCGACACACCAGAGCTGATGTTCATTAACTTTCCACTTTAAGCCATGTTTAAGTATGCATTGTATGTAATGTATATGCATGTTCTCTCACCACGCCTTCTTTTGAAGCGCGGGACTCCGGTGGCTCAAGCTAGCAATGCTGCCAAGCGTTCGGTGTTGGCGGTGACCCCAAGTCAGCCATGTGCCGTATCAGATGCGCCGGGCCAGGCTGGCCGGGTACGGAGGGAGGAAGAAGGCCGGGAGGGGGGAGGGGTGCTTACGGGGGTGCTGAGCAGATGGTGTGGTAAAGTGTCGAAGCCGACGGAACAAGCACCTGCCAGCGGCAAAATGTTATGTGATTGCTACGGTCAATTGTGAATACTATGTGATATGATATGCACTGTTTTTTGAAGCGCAAACCAAACCTCGTCGCTTAGGTTTCCGGCATCATGACGCCACTAGCAGTGGTATTTATAATCTGCTGAGTGACGACGCCGATAGCTTTACTGATGGCACGGTTCGGTCATAGCCATTCAAATGCTGGCGTCTTAACTAATTAGCACATGCATAAATATTTGTTGAACTTTTGCTTTGAGAATGGAAGGTTTTTTATGAACCTGATTGAAATCCCCCAGTAGTCGATTTGCTGGTATCCAGCGCTTTCTAAGCGAAACTGAATTGTGCATGTCTCGACAGTCATTTCCTGTGACCCAAGGCCGATGTTTACACGTGACACTGTCTAACGTCATGACATGTCACGAATTACAATATCATTGTCATAGCTTTACACAAAACGCCCAACGTCTTCAGTGTGGCGTTCAAAGGTATGTGTTCAAAGTGGCTTGTAAAAAGATGAAGTTATAAAAGGCGAAGAGTTAGCTCCTTTGAAAGTTGAAGTTGTGTTACCACTTTTTGACCGGTTAGTACTTCGTCCCGAATACACAGCACCTGCCAGAACCACTGATTGTAACGTGCGGTGTAAAGTGCGTGTCTTGCGCGTTGATGATCACATACCTTTCAGGTCATGTCAGGTCCTGTGAAAGGGTAGGATCAGGTTCACTTAATGGGAAACAAAACTAAACGGTCATTTTCATGAAGAAACATTTGCTCTCAATGTGTTAAAGTAAATCTAGGACTTGACTACAAACGAATGGAAACGGAACACAACTAACCTGTTTCGGCTGTGTTCGACAGGGCGAAGGGATAACTGTGCGAGCCAAACGCAACACACATGAGGCACACCATGCTACGCTATCTTGAGTAATTCGTTGCATGAAGATGAGGAGTGTTGAAGATGCAAGAGTAAATATTCTGGTACTGCGTTAGAGGGAAGTTGGGATCTGGAAAATGCAGCCATTTTAACGTGGTTAACCAGATGATATAGAGTAATTAGATTCGCTAGCCACTGGCCAGCGGGTGGCGTGTTCCGCCAGCCGACTGCGGGTGATACCCCGCGCGGCCGGTCGGCCAGCGGGTGGCGTGTTCGGCCAGCCGACTGCGGGTGATACCCCGCGCGGCCGGTTGGTCAGCGGGTGGCGTGGTCGGCCAGCCGACCGTGGGCGGTACCTGAAACGACCGGTAGACTGACTGGCTGGCAGTTTATATAAGAGCCGTCAGAGCATCCATACGTAGGAGTGGCACGGTGAGCCTTACCACGGACCAACCGGATGAAGGACATTGGAGGACACATTCTCCCCACTTTTATTTCCACACAACGCTCCTGTGTCTCGCAATGAGTTGTGAAGTATGTTTGAGTACTGTGGTTTGCAGCAGGATTGCGCTTCATCTGGAGACGGCTATCATCATGACGGCAATATCGTGTGCGCTGAATTGCCGTTGTTCGTTCCCCACGTGTGCATATTGTTTTGGTGGCTCACGATAATTATGTACACAAGTAGACAGAAAAAGGATAATTTCAGAGGGAAAATTTGACACCACGAATGGAAAAAGCGCTCGCCGCAGTTATCCTCACCACACAGCATTTGGCCGGGACAAGCCGCCACTGCGACCCTTTTGCACCGCCACAGACTACGCTAACGCTCGCACGCTCACACGACTGGGGATCAGAAGATGCACGCACTGCTCTCCGGATATGTTGCATAAAGACTGCTTTCTTAGTACTTATGTAAGGGGAGGGGGAGGGGGGTGCAATTATAACACAGAATGATGGGGCCCATGGGCTTTAAATACAGCTCGGCGACCTATATTCAACCAGATTGAAGCACAGGAAAGGCGTGGAGGAATAGAATAAACACATATTGTGTGCTGCAGAGCGAATGACGTGTTGGCGCGGTGTTAATGTATTTTGGCGAATAAATCCGGCCATGAACACAGCTCCAAAACGCCGAATTGTCTCAACATAACCATTACCTGTTTGACAACGTCGTTAGACTAGTACCTCTTCGCAAACTAAAGATCGATTGTTTTTAGCGCAATTTTGACTCGTTATAACGAAATATCAAAAGCGTCACCCTTGTCTCGCATATATCAATTCGAAACTCATGTCAAAACGCTGGCCGCATTATGTATTAGCACAGACATTTTAGCAATGGCAATGCGCATAATAACTTTGAAACGCGCATGCGCATGATAATTTTTTTCCGTGATCTCCCCACGGGAAATTTATCATGTGCTCATTCTTCTCTATTTTGTATGTGTCAGACCACGCCATTCTGCTAAAACTGTTTTTTTTTGCATCTCGGGCTACCTTCCATAAGCGATAAACGGAACATATTTCGAATGACCATATCGGACCGGCTTATTTATATTTTCTATAAATGACACCGAATTCTAAGCCCCTCAAAAATCTGCAGTTTGACGGAGACCTGAAATGAGAGGTCATTCCTTCGTAAAGCAGTCTTCGATGTGTCTAAATTAGAGGTATGTCCTTGGAATAGGAGCGCGAGGTTCAGTAGACGAAATCCGCAGAGAAGTCAAGTTTTCGGGCAGACTAGGTGAACCTCATCAGCTGAGCCCCCAACCGATCTAAAATGTGACACCTCCTCGCGAGGAAGGCCGTAGCTGTCTTTGTATGCATCCATATTACTGAATAAGCTTTTTCAGTACCATCCGATGAAAACCCGGCCTGAAAACAAGCCAAATTTCGGAACTCTGTTAGCACGTGCGCATGGGTGGAGGATGTGTTATATCTGGCATGACATTGGTTTCGTACGAAGTCATCAAGAAGGGCATCATTTTAACATTTCGACATTGCGGGATGCTCGCTCCGCCAGCTTCACCGCACTCAGTTCTCTCGACACGCTGCACCCGCGAACGAGCTTTGGCACCATTATACTATATATTCATTGGTGCCGGTGGCTTGAGACTCTGTTGTATGTTGGTATTAGCCGAAGAGATCCAAATCTGCCCCGCCCCAGTCAAATCTGCCCCCCGCCCCAGTCAAATATTTGCACTTTTCAAAAACGCGTGAAGATCTCTGTTCGAAATGTCTAGCATGTGCCAATTCAAATACGCAAAGACAAGAACATGTAAAGACCATGAAAACCGCAATGTAAGGTCAAGTGAGTACAGCTTATTGAGCTGGTCACAATTTTAATCCTCCGCGTTCGTACTGTACTCAGTTGATATTTCGTATTTTTGCTACATGCTGCATGATTTTTATTACAAAATTCATGTCTTGTTGACTCCTACCTAGTTTTGTTTAATGGCAAACATCATATAGCAATATTTCAACTTTTACAGCATGCAATTATTTGCGTTATTCCGCCTCGACGTCTCATCCAAGGCTATAGAAACGAACAAAGGTAGGTAGTGCCATTGAATCATCAGTCAATAAAAACATATTAGCACACGAACACGTGATGAATCTACTAAACATCTACGTTTGGAAACACCCTTGACATATGTTAACCTCAGCCTCGAAATTAAATGAAATTAGATTTAACGAATCTTCAAGGAAACAGTTTCTTAAGCCTGATGATCGGCAATTGGAGATTAAACGAATAACGGTCATGGCCCGATAACGGCCACCACCAAAACAACACCAGCCGTGTCGCGCGTACTCGACCCGAGTGCTGGTTTCCAACCTCCTGGCGGCGCTGCGGTCGGGGGCTTACATGACAGCCTCGAACAGTGGCGCACATCGTCTAATACTCCGCCTCCCGAAGCTGCGCACATAAAACAGCATCTACAGCCACATAGCAACGGCCCTTTCCGCTACATCGGCCCTACATCGACAACTGAAAGCTGGCTCCGACCGTCAACGCTGAAGATGTTGCTCGACGACATTATCTTCCGCCGAGGCAGAGCGGGCAAACGTGGCGGAGCCGCGATGTGGCTTTCTATTCATTTGTTTCATATTCGCTTATTTCATATTCAGCTGTGTTCTGTTCAATGGCTTCATATTCAGTTGTTTGCTTTTCAGTTGCTTTCTGTTCAAGTGTTTTCTATTCAGTTATTCCGTATTCAGTCCAGCCCCACTCCTCCAACTTTAAGAGAGAAGTGAGTCGAATCCATGGAAAACCTGTTTTTCAGGGCACTTTGGCGTAAGTCTAGCCATTTTCTCATCTCATTGCACAAACCCGTTTTGTGAAACTTCACTCCTGTGGTGGAGGCTTAATGATCGTGGCACTCGATGGCTTCACCACCAAATTACTTCAGCATCCAGCCACAGCATTGCTCCAAAGCAGGAATCGTCTGAGTCAAGAGACAGGTGAACCTAAACTGCTGTAAGGCAATCGACAGTTCACACCAGCCACCTGGAGGCATCACAGTTTGCACTGGTCTCATTTGCATTGAAAACGACTTGCAAGCCAAAGCGCGTTCTCGTACTGCACATTGCATACAATTGTAATGCTCAATGAAATCTCAATAAAAGAAATGAAGTGAAATTGAAATGAAATGGTGCTCAATGAACGAAAATGAAATCTGCGAGACTGCGAAGTCGGATTAAAATTGTGCTATATGTTTGGTGCATGAATGAAAAAAACAATTTTTTTTGGAAGAACAACCCCATAACATACATACACGAACCATAAATTACATAAAAAACACCAGAGCAAAATTCATACGGATTATAGCCGCGCACACCAATGACAAAGTTGAAGTGGGCATATTCATTCATTCCAACCATTGGCTGACGGTTGAAATCTTGGTGAGAGATTCTTGGTTCAAGTCTGAATGCGGTAGGCTTTTCTTTGACTCACTTCCCCGCAGGCGATGGCAGCACCTGGGGAGAAATCGCCCCGTCCCGGGATTGGCGCTGCATCTGCTGCTGCATTGACGCTGCATCTGCTGCTGCATTGGCGCTGCATCTGCTGCTGCATTGACGCTGGCTGGCCGGCGCCCGCAGCGGTGGAGTCGCGGGCATTGGCGGCTTTCAAATAGATCCTACGGTCTGATTGCCCACCCCGAAGACATGGCCTTCGCCCTGAGGCG